GACGGGGTTTCCCGATGTTCGCCAGGATGGTCTTGACCTCGTGATTCGCCTGCCTTGGCCTCCCAAAGTGCTGGGATTACAGGCGTGAGCCACCGTGCCGGTGAAGTCTTGCACTTCCGCCCGGGCGGGCTGGAGTGCAGTGGCGCGATCTGGGCTCATTGCAAGCTCCGCCTCCCGAGTTCATGCCATTCCCCTGCCTCAGCCTCCCTAGTAGCTGGGACCACAGGCGCCTGCCACCACGCCCAGCTAATTTTTGTATTTTTAGTAGAGATGGGGTTTCCCGATGTTGGCCAGGATGGTCTTGACCTCGTGATTCGCCTGCCTTGGCCTTCCAAAGTGCTGGGATTACAGGCGTGAGCCACCGCGCCGGCGAAGTTTTGCACTTTCGCCTGGGCTGGAGTGCAGTGGCGCGATCTGGGCTCACTGCAAGCTCCGCCTCCCGGGTTCATGACATTCTCCTGCCTCAGTCTCCCGAGTAGCTGGGACTACAGGCGCCCACCACCACGCCCAGCTAATTGTTTGTTTTTGTGTTTTTAGTAGAGACAGGGTTTCACCACGTTAGCCAGGATGGTCTCAATCTCCTGACCTTATGATCCGCCCGCCTTGGCCTCCCAGAGTGCTGGGATTACAGGCATGAGCCACCGCACCTGGCTCCTTCCCTTCCTTTTGAAGGCTGAATCATGTTCCGTTTCATGGATGGACCACATTTTGCTTATCCCATCATCTATGGATGGACACTTGGGTTAATCCCACATTTTAGCTTGTGAATAGTGCTGCTATGAACACAGCAGAGACCACGTTTTTAGTTCTTTAGGATATATACCCAGAAGTGGAATTGTTGGATCATATGGCAATTCTATTTTAAATCTTTCAAGAAACGACCATACTGTTTTCCACAGTGGCTATGCCATTTTACATTTCCACCGACAGTGTACATAGGTTCTGGTTTCTTGGCATCTTTGTCAATACTCGTTATTTTCTGTTGTTTTTGATAGTAGCCATCCTAATGGATGTGAAGTGGTGTTTCATTGTGGTTTAGCTTTGCATTTCCCTAATGTTTAGTGATGTTGAGCGTCTTTTCATGTGTTTGTCAACTGTATTTTTTGTTTGTAGAAATGCCTACTCAAGTTCTTTTCTCATTTTTGAATCAGATTTTTTTTTAAACTGAAAATTAAATGTATTGCTAAACTCTTTGTATATTTATTCATATACTTGAACATAGACATGTATAGGTGTAGTGTATATTATGTGCATGTTATATACATATACTTGTGTATCTATGTATCTATGTATATATTTTTCAAATTTTCATCAGTATCCTGAAACTGAAGACTATAGCTTTTGGTGTTTGAGAAAGTCCCTGTGTCCATTTTTGCTTTTATTATTTTTGACGCATAATAATTGTACGTATTTATGAGTATAATGTGGTATTTTGATACATGCATGCAATAGTATGCTTGTTTT